GATTTTCCATGTATAGAATCTAATTATTGGTGGGTCATTATAATTTAAAGTCACCTTGGGTTTGGGTAAATATGGTATGTAGGAATAAATTATGCACAGCTGCTTTGTACTTCCTTCCCCCCCCTGCTTTTTTGCAATTAAACTCTTTGCTACAGTAACAAAACCCACAACCTTGTGAATTATTTTTTTTTTCCCCAGAAAACATTAACCAAAATCAACCTGAGATTATTTAAATGAAACCTGTATTCAGGTTTCATTAACAGTGGTTTATTACTTTCTCAGAGAGGATTTTATGAAGTTGTGCACTAGGCAAATATTTGCATAGAAAAAAATCAAATAAATAACATTATCAGCAGGGAATCTGGGTTTTCTTTTCTCCATAGTAAAATTCAATAAAACAGATTTTCTCGTTTTAAGGGTAAATATGCTGGGAAACAGTGTGGTTTCCCCTTGCAGGCTGGAACTCTGCTAGCCTGCAAGGAGGTGGGGGGAGCAGGAGGAGGGCAATCAGGCAGTAGGGCTGTGTGAAGCTTTGGTTCCTGATTCAGTTAGGCAGAGATTTGGCCTGATTCAGTGCCCAAATGTCCAAATCTGAATAGAATCAGGAGACCGTTAATTTCTCCAAATCAAATCGGAACCCTCCTGTGATGTTGGTGGGCCTCACGTCCAGTATCACCCTCCGTTAGGTAGCCCCTCCCCTCGTCCCTCCTACCACGACTTTGATGTTATGGGTGATTTGAAGGAGGGCTTCAGTGGAGCTCTTTTACCAGAGGGGTTCCCCGACGCGGGTGTACTCACGGTTGAGGCTTCCGTTGTTGCACAGGGCTCCGCCACCCCTACACCCCGTCCACTCGCCACCCGTTCACTTGTTGGTGAGATGGTGACTTGCTGCTATTCGCAGGCCTTCTTGCCGGTAGGTGTTCCTGACCGTAGGGACCTAGGCTAACGGTCTCCTTCAGTCAGCCTGCCTTAGAATCCTGTTGACCCTGCCGCTAGCTCGGGTCATCTCCCTTTTTCTCCCCTGATCTTAGAAATAATATTTCTCTGGGATGGGGAGGCTTCCCGGATTAATGCCTTGGCCCCGGCAATCCCTGGAGACCACTCCTTCTGCCCCTGCTGGGGTTTCCGGTTCTCGCTTCAGCTGCTGAGCTGATGCAGAGTTGCCTGTCGGAGGGTCTCGCTCCTCCAGCGATGTTCTGCACCTCTCCT